TTTACATAAATGTAACATCGATTATTATATAACTATATATTTTTTATTTGAGAAATAATTAGATAATTGAGTATTTTTTATTAAAAATATTTGTAAAATTATACTTATATGTTTATCAATAATATCAATAGATCAACAAAAAGAAATATATATTCACTTTCCAACCTAATCCATGTTGAGCAGATATAATATAATCCTAAGTTTCGTTTATGAGTAGTTTAATGCATTATTCTAAACTATCAAAGGTTTAAAAAATATATTTGTAATAGAAATTTATTTCTTAATATTGTAATTTTTGTTTTACATTGTTTTAATTCATTTTTTACTATTTCAAACTTCAAATATAATTATAATTTTAGTAAAACAAAAAAAGATAAAAACTAACAAATTAATTGTCTTTAAAATATAAAGCTAATGTATTTATATTATCATTAAATGATTATAAAAACATACATTAAACCTATTAGATGAGTCTATAAACACATTCAGTATAAAATAGTCAAAAGAGTTTAATAATACATATTGAATAATTCTTTCCATGAACTAGTTATATAATTATAGCAAATATGTCCATATACTAATTAGACGAATATAGCAAAAGAATTAGATGTGTTACTCCATTAATTGATTAAACAAATATAAGAAAAAAAATCAAATGAGTTTATGGATGCATTGATTAAACAAGTCTAACAATACACATTAAACGAGTTTGTCATAATAGTAAAAAAAACATTAAATGAGACATTTCATACATTGATTACATAAGTCTTAAAATACTTATTAGAAGAGTCTCTCGAAACATTAATTAAATGAGTCTACCAACAACATACAATGGTAAGATGACCTTATCAATATACATTAGAAAATTTTATTATACATAAATTAGGTAAGTCTATTAATATAATATAAGTTTGTCCATTCATTAATTAAACGAGTCTTTTAATACACTTTAGATAAGTCTGAACAAACAATCATTAAACAACTTTGTCCATAACCTAATTAAACAAGTTTAGGAAAATTTTTTGATAAGTCATTCTATAAATTAATTAGATGAGTTTAAGAATCCTCATTAAACAAGTTTCTTTATACATTGATTAGAAGAGTCTATCAACAAACATTAAATCAATTTGTTCATATATTGATAAGAAGAGTTTAACAAAATAAATTACACAAGTTCTTTCATACATAGATTAAACAAGTTTATTAATACACATTAGATAAGTTAGTCCATTATTGATCAGATGAGTACTGCAATACATATTAGATAGGTTTAAACATACACGGATTAGACAGATATGTCCAAATACTTATGAGACAAGTCTAGTAATACATATTAGAAAAGTTTGTCAATGCATTGATTAGATGAGTCTAAAAATACAAATCAGACAAGTCATTTCATACACTTATTAGACGAGTATTGCTAAAAATATTATATGAATCTAACAATACATATTAAAAAAAGACTATAAATACACTAATTAGAAGAGTATAACAAAAATATATTAGATGAGTCATTCCATACGTTGATTGGATTAGTTTAGAAATACTTTGATTAAATAAGTTATCGACGAATTGATCAAACCAGCTTATTAATACACATCAGACAACTAATTCATAGATTGATTAAACGAGTCTAATAATATATATTAGACAAACTTTTTCATACATAAATTAAACGAGTCTATTAATACAAATTAGACGAGCATGTTTATTCACTAATTAGATGAATCTTACAACATATATTAGATGAGTTTATTCATACACTAATTGGATGAGTTTAACAATACACATTAGTCTATCCATGCACTAATTAGAGAAGTATTTTATGCATAAAACATAAAAACAAGTCATACCATACATTAATTAGAGGAGTCTAAAAATACTTATTAGACGAGTTTAATATTATATATAGATGAATCTACATTGATTATACAAGTTTAACAATACATAATAGACCAATATGTTCATACACTGATTTGTATTTATATCGAATATACTCAATATATTTTTACAGAATCTATTATTTGTATTTTTATAAAGTTTAGTCTATATTTTTTCACATGTTACATCTTTTGTAATTTTGCAAAATTTGTTTTTCATATTTCTACATATATATTAACTTTCCAAAATAATTTTTCAAATTGATTCTTTCAAAATTTAATTATAAATTTATAAAATATTGTTAACTTTTTCTTTCACCTCTAAGTATTTGTTAAAGTAATATATATATATATATTTAAATATTTTTAATATAATATATATTTACTAACATAAAAAAACACATTTACGTCAATTAATTAAAATGCTTCATAATTATTCATTTAAAACTAAATGTAAAATACTAATTGAACGTTACATGTTTTATATAAATTCTTTAAATGACTATTTTATAAAGTTTTTCATTAACAAACAAATTGAATGGAATATTTTTTTTCAACCGTTTGAGAGTCTAGAAACATTTTGAAAAAGATAAATTTATTTAAATTTGATAAAATTGATGATAATAATAATGATAATAATAATTTTTATTTAATGGTTAACGTAGATAAATTTAAATTTCATAATATGATTAAAAACTAGTATAATTATGCATAAAATGTAGAAACAATATATTGCAAAAAACCATGTTGTTATGTTTATAAAACAATCAGAAGTAAAAATACAATAATTAAAAAATTTTCAAAAGAAAAAAAAGAGAGTATATTTGGACATAATTGACACTCAAACTGTTTATACTTTCTGCTAAGATAAATGTGAAACTCCNCAATACACATTAAACGAGTTTGTCATAATAGTAAAAAAAACATTAAATGAGACATTTCATACATTGATTACATAAGTCTTAAAATACTTATTAGAAGAGTCTCTCGAAACATTAATTAAATGAGTCTACCAACAACATACAATGGTAAGATGACCTTATCAATATACATTAGAAAATTTTATTATACATAAATTAGGTAAGTCTATTAATATAATATAAGTTTGTCCATTCATTAATTAAACGAGTCTTTTAATACACTTTAGATAAGTCTGAACAAACAATCATTAAACAACTTTGTCCATAACCTAATTAAACAAGTTTAGGAAAATTTTTTGATAAGTCATTCTATAAATTAATTAGATGAGTTTAAGAATCCTCATTAAACAAGTTTCTTTATACATTGATTAGATGAGTCTATCAACAAACATTAAATCAATTTGTTCATATATTGATAAGAAGAGTTTAACAAAATAAATTACACAAGTTCTTTCATACATAGATTAAACAAGTTTATTAATACACATTAGATAAGTTAGTCCATTATTGATCAGATGAGTACTGCAATACATATTAGATAGGTTTAAACATACACGGATTAGACAGATATGTCCAAATACTTATGAGACAAGTCTAGTAATACATATTAGAAAAGTTTGTCAATGCATTGATTAGATGAGTCTAAAAATACAAATCAGACAAGTCATTTCATACACTTATTAGACGAGTATTGCTAAAAATATTATATGAATCTAACAATACATATTAAAAAAAGACTATAAATACACTAATTAGAAGAGTATAACAAAAATATATTAGATGAGTCATTCCATACGTTGATTGGATTAGTTTAGAAATACTTTGATTAAATAAGTTATCGACGAATTGATCAAACCAGCTTATTAATACACATCAAACAACTAATTCATAGATTGATTAAAAGAGTCTAATAATATATATTAGACAAACTTTTTCATACATAAATTAAACGAGTCTATTAATACAAATTAGACGAGCATGTTTATTCACTAATTAGATGAATCTTACAACATATATTAGATGAGTTTATTCATACACTAATTGGATGAGTTTAACAATACAAATTAGTCTATCCATGCACTAATTAGAGAAGTATTTTATGCATAAAACATAAAAACAAGTCATACCATACATTAATTAGAGGAGTCTAAAAATACTTATTAGACGAGTTTAATATTATATATAGATGAATCTACATTGATTATACAAGTTTAACAATACATAATAGACCAATATGTTCATACACTGATTTGTATTTATATCGAATATACTCAATATATTTTTACAGAATCTATTATTTGTATTTTTATAAAGTTTAGTCTATATTTTTTCACATGTTACATCTTTTGTAATTTTGCAAAATTTGTTTTTCATATTTCTACATATATATTAACTTTCCAAAATAATTTTTCAAATTGATTCTTTCAAAATTTAATTATAAATTTATAAAATATTGTTAACTTTTTCTTTCACCTCTAAGTATTTGTTAAAGTAATATATATATATATATTTAAATATTTTTAATATAATATATATTTACTAACATAAAAAAACACATTTACGTCAATTAATTAAAATGCTTCATAATTATTCATTTAAAACTAAATGTAAAATACTAATTGAACGTTACATGTTTTATATAAATTCTTTAAATGACTATTTTATAAAGTTTTTCATTAACAAACAAATTGAATGGAATATTTTTTTTCAACCGTTTGAGAGTCTAGAAACATTTTGAAAAAGATAAATTTATTTAAATTTGATAAAATTGATGATAATAATAATGATAATAATAATGATAATAATAATTTTTATTTAATGGTTAACGTAGATAAATTTAAATTTCATAATATGATTAAAAACTAGTATAATTATGCATAAAATGTAGAAACAATATATTGCAAAAAAACCATGTTGTTATGTTTATATAACAATCAGAAGTAAAAATATAATAATTAAAAATGTTTCAAAAGAAAAAAAAGAGAGTATATTTGGACATAATTGACACACAAACTGTTTATACTTTCTGCTAAGATAAATGTGAAACTCCAATACATAGATAAACATGCATTAAAATGGACAACAATTGACCTTCAGTAAGAATAAAGTTACTTGGTCGGAAAAATATACATTAATTTAATTTTATATGCTGTTTAACGCAATGATAGGAAAACTTGTTTTTAAAAGTGGAACAAAGAAGGCTTTGTCCAAAAATTTGCTTTGTCTATCTTCTGTTCTGTGTTAGTTTTTCCTTCTCTCTCCGTCCAAGAGTGACGTCTTCCAGAGACAAGAACGGCTTTGTTTCTGGGTCTCTACGCTCTTAGTGGTTCAGATTCTTTCCCCACTTTCAACTTGTCCGTTTCTCACTCCATTCAAAATCTCATAAACACAACTTCATCATCAAATCATACATACATGCACTCTCTCTCCTTCTTCACATTCTTCCTTTTCTACCAACCCATTCTTTTTCCTTATTCGACATTCTAGTCAATACAAGCCCCATCGACGCCTCTGATCCAAGCTGGGTTCGCTTGATGTTCTCGTATACTGATGTGAGTTACCTTCAAAATACCACCTTTGAGTTCATACATCTCGACTTGCTAACTAATCCCTTTTGTTGATTTTGCAACAGAAGGCTTTTTAATATTAAAAAAAAGGGTTGTGGCCTTTGTGGGGGATTACGCAGATCTGCATGTTATCTATTATTTGACAATAACAGAAACCAAAAAGAGGAAGAGAGAGAAAGAAAAGGAGTGTTGTTTCTTTTTTCTGGTTCTCCTCCCATTAAAAAAAAAGGAGACATCTTTCTTTCTTGTTTTATCCTGAATTCTCTGCCTTGGTTGATGACTGAAGTTGGTTCACTGCCATTTTAGTCATCTCAATCTGAAGGGTGCTGGTGTGATTGTTGTGGGGTGGAGAAGAGGTTGCGAAAGTGAAAAAAGAAAAATTGAAGGTGGAGAAGTGGTGTTGGGGGATTGCGAAAGGTTTGATTTTTGTTGGTGATTCTCAAAGGGGTTGTGACGGATCCTTCAAGGGAAGAAAGTGGGTGCTCGAGTGGTTTGGAGTGCATTCTTGGCATTCTAAGGGCCCTTAAGATGGGGTCCTGCTTCTCTGCGGAAAGCAGGAGCCCTCACCCCACTTCACCCTCTACATCTTTTCGGAAGCGCAAGAGCAACGCCAAGAAGAGGCTTGGATCAAGAGCTTCTTCCTTTGAGTATTGGAGGAATGAGCCTCTCCATAGGATCCCTGGGAGGATCTTCCTCAATGGCTCCTCCCAAGTTGCATCCTTGTTCACTCAGCAAGGCAAGAAGGGTACCAACCAGGATGCCATGGTGGTTTGGGAGGTTAGATCCTTTCTCTCACTTTACATTTTCTTATATTTGGCCAATTATTCTCTTTGTGTAGTCTTTCTTTTGCCGCATTTTGCTCACAATTCAGATCTTTTTCCATCTTAATGTCAGCGAGGTTGGTTGATTTTCCTCACATTGGATTTTGTACCCTGCTATATACATACGAACATGGGTTGTTATGTTTATACATACATACTTATATAACTACTTTTCATGGATTTGATTGTGACGTTTATTGATTGATCAAGTGTGTTCTATCATGGTTTCTTTGCATATGTAGTTTTGTGCATAGTTATGATTGTTGCTGATCCTTGATTCTCTTCTACACGACTTTGGTTATGACTGTTTCTGGTTTTGTGCACACTTCCCGTTTTATCTGTTTCTTGCTATTCTCTCGATTATCTACCTTTATTTTATTTATTATGGATATGGGATGGGGAAGCTTTTTGTAGCTATTTAGGGAATAGCAACTGTGCATTTATTTCTGCTGAATAGAGTTTTAATTGCTTCTGTTTGCCATGTATTGCAGAACTTTTGTTCTAGACAGGATACTATTTTCTGTGGAGTTTTTGATGGCCATGGTCCATATGGTCACATGGTTGCAAAAAGAGTGAGAGATTCTCTTCCTCTTAAACTGAATGCCCATTGGGAAGTTAATGTTCCTGGTGAGGAAGTCCTCAAGGAGATTAGCGGTAATGCTGCAGGAAGCATGAATATAGAAGAGGCTGCCTCTGCATCTGCTGATGAGGATTCTCGGGTATCTCTTAATGCTGAAGAAACAGAAAAGCACCCTGAAATCTTTCAGACACTCAAGGAATCCTTTTTGACGGCATTCAAAGTTATGGATAGGGAACTGAAGACCCACCAAAGTATTGATTGTTTTTGTAGCGGAACAACAGCAGTAACTCTGATTAAGCAGGTGTTGCTTTGTTATCTTTGGAAGATTATATTTTGTTAGAAACTTACAGTTGTCTGTGATAGAGAGTTATTTCTGACCATAAAGAATTTTGGTTCATTTGTAGGGCCTTGATCTTATCGTTGGAAATGTTGGTGACTCTAGAGCTGTGTTGGGTACAAGAGAGAATGATGATTCTCTTGTCGCTGTCCAGTTAACTGTGGATCTGAAACCCAATCTTCCAGGTATCTCTCTTGTCTGGCCATCTGGGAAATTCTTACCTACTTTGTGGAACAGTGGCATCAGATTGTTGAGCATCCATTTAGCTATGAAACTTATTTAAATGTCAAGTTCAAATACATGTGAGATACTTGCACACATTGTCTATGATTTATCTAATGAATTTGAATTCTCAGCTGAGTTTTTGGTGCTGTCCCTATGTTGTGTCTTCAAAACAGATTGATGTATACTGATTTTGATGTTTTAAAGTATATTAAAGACTCTTTTAATGTTAACAAAATCAAGGTATTTTGAAGACACCATAGATAGACCAACACTTGAAAAAACCAGTAGAAAATCTGGACTCTTAATGTACAAAACAAAAGTTGAAGAAAAAGTTAAAATCAGTTCTACGTCATCTTCTCCTGAGACTCCTGATTTTCTGTTTGGAAAATTTCCCTTTAATTTTAGCAATTGAGAGTTCTCCCCCTGTCCCCAATTTCACTTTTACTTCTATCATTATTGGAATGATCTTGATCAGTTGATTCCTTGTAAATTTATGCAATTGCTGGAAATCATGCATGGTCCATGCAGTATGCTAAGATTTTTGATACATTTGAAATATTAGTGGATAAGAAATAGGAGTCCACATACAAAATCTGTTTGAAATCTCTGGAATACACGATTCTGAATAAGCTAATCTACACATTTACACAATAATATTGAAATGAGCCATAAAAGGGACGCCTGCACTGGTAGAGACACTAACACCTATTTGGCCATGTAAATGGACAAAATTTTACAATTGTTGTTGTCATGGCTCATCTCAAATTCAACTTCTGCAGAAGCAACTCATTCTTGGTTTTAATGTTTAAGTAGATATTGCTTTAGCCTGTTGATCACTTTGTTTTAAGTCGACAGCTCTCGAATGCTATTTTTATGCTGTGTCATATATACACATTGTTCATATGTCTGACCCAGTTTATTTTTCTCACTTACAGCCGAAGAAGAGAGAATTCGCAAATGTAAAGGCCGTGTTTTTGCTCTTCAGGATGAACCCGAAGTAGCACGTGTCTGGTTGCCGAACAATGACTCGCCAGGCCTTGCCATGGCCAGGGCATTTGGTGATTTTTGTCTTAAAGATTTTGGCCTGATATCTGTTCCAGAGATGTCATACAGAAGACTGACCGAAAAAGACGAGTTCATTGTCTTAGCAACAGATGGGGTAGACGACCTAACTGGCATTGCCAATAAAGATTTATACTTTACTTGACCTTTTCACATTCATCTGAAGCTTGTTGTTTGTTGATGGCAGATTTGGGATGTTCTCTCAAACAAAGAAGTGGTGGACATAGTGGCGGCCACATCAAGGCGTGCCTCAGCTGCTCGAGCCCTGGTCGAGTCAGCAGTTCGCGCTTGGAGGTACAAGTATCCAACCTCCAAAGTGGATGACTGTGCTGTGGTTTGCCTCTTTTTGGACTCTGCCTCACACAAAGTATGCAGTGCTTCCATTGCCAAGTCCAAGGAGCAACCTGGTTCGACCGTCCAAGTCCACAATGGCAACAGGGGAGACGTTTTGGCCCCGACCGGGCTGGGAAGGTCAGGAACATGCAGGGAGAACGATGAAGGTGATGACAGCAACAAGAATGAGGAGGAGAAAGAGTGTAGGGAAGAGGAAATAGATCCTGAGTCAGAAATAGAATGGTCTGCTCTTGAAGGAGTGTCTCGTGTGAACACATTGCTAAACCTGCCAAGGTTTGAACCTGCCAAGGTTTGAACCTGCCAAGGTTTGAACCTGACAAAGAAGACAAGGGGATGAGAAAACAAAATTGAAAGAAAATGGTTCAGTTGAGTTGAGTTGAGATGGTCTTTTACTTTATATTCCTTTATTTTATTTTGTTTTTGTTCTGTTTTCCATCATCATGATATAGATACATACACACCCTTTTCCTTTTTTGTTCTTTTGCTCAATTTTCTTTTGTGTTGAAGTATTCATGTTCCCTTCACCAATTGGTGTTCTTTTGTTTCTTCTGAGTCATATGTTTGGACTAGAGAAGATGGCCGGGCTGTTTTAGTGTGTCTGGAAATCTGCCCTTCCTCTCCTGTGCTTGAAAATTTTGTAAAATCAAACTCTTCTTACCATATATTTTTTCTATCAAAGGCCTTATCTGCTTACTTTCTGCATTATGCAGTCTTTTTTAAGATATGTTATTACAATAACACTGTTCTTCTTCTTTCATCCATGCTTTCTAATTTTATCAGTTTTTGAAATAGTTCAATGAAAATCAATTTCATGATTCTGGTAAACTAAAGATGAAATCTTTTGGAGAATTAGACAAGTGGGTCTAATATGATTATACAAGAACACTGGTATGGTTGAAATTAGTGAGTGACGTGGTGGAAGTAGCATGGTTCATGAGTGAGTGTTAAATGTATTGGTTAATTATTGTTGAAGTAGTTGGTAAGTGATTGAGAAAGAAATTGGATAAGGTTCATAAATGATGGAAATTAATGTGGTGTGGTGTGGACAGGAGTAACTCGTGTTTGCTATTATTAGGAGTGTTGTGTGTGAAGCTGCTGACACCAATCTGTTCACACCGATCGATTTCACTGCAAAATTGTCTCTCATTTAATTTTCATTCAATTATTCATACTTAGATTGAAGGCCTTTTCTTCTGCTCCTCTGATCTAGTTTACCAGATCATGAGTTTATCTTTTCAAATTTAGTTTCATAAATTTCAAGGATAAGATTCAGAACTGCACATCTTCCAGCTAAAAAAGTCAGAATCTCATTTCTGATTCTTAGTTTCATATATATTCATGAACTAAATTTGTAAATTATGTTAAGAATAATTTAAGTTTAAGTATAAGTTTTATATTAGATAAAAATAACAAAATTAAGCACTATAAAAAAAAATCTATAAAAATGATATCAATTTTATGTAGATTACATTCATGTAATATATATAATCTTTCCTATCAGGTTATTTGGATGATGTAATTGTCACTGGCAAATATCAACTGGCCAATTAGGGTTTTAAAGATTGTTAGTAGATATATATTGAAAAGCTACTTTTTTTAATGCATAATGTTGTAACCTTTTAGTCAATTATCTTTTTGTACTACTGTTCCTATTTTTGGTTTTAAGTTGTTGATATATGTCATGAATATTAACTTCTATGATCTAGATGAGACTAATATTTGATGATTCGATTCAAAGGTTATGATTACTTGTTTTCATTCTCACTTATATATATAATTTTTTTTTATAATTTTTTTTTATGTTTCTCTCTTTGAATAAGATTTAGTTAAATTTTAAATGTATTATAAATTTATGTATTTTCAATTAGGTTTTGAATAGTGATAAAAACGAATTTGTACAACCGTAATTATCTTCCAAAAAATTGACATTATTTCATTTTATTAAATTTATACTAAAATAAAAATCAAACTAATCATATAGAGATGCAAGATAATGTTGTTTGATAAAAATTTCATACTTTCATTTTTTTTATTGTCGAAATTTATATGTAATTTTAGTGTAAATTTTTACCATACAAATTATTGATATAAAACATTAATTTTGGTTGGGGAAAAAGTAAATAAAACCTATAAGTATTTCAGTCCATCATAAAAATTTTATGAGTTCCTTTTATTTAGGCTCACAATCAAACAGGGTTTTCACTTTAAATGTGCTAAATTATTTTTTAACAGAAAAGACAAATAACTGAAAAATATGAGTCGGGTTAAAACACTTTTACTATAATTTTCTTAAAAAACATATTTAATCTGAACAACACATAATAATAAAAGTTTACTCATTATACTAAGAAAAATAAGAATCAAACAATCATTATAAGAAACTAATCTTATAAGCTGCAATTATACATGTGATGAAATAACCAAATTCAAAATTTAAAAGGTTTTAAAAGAAAACTTAGTATAATAATGTTTGTGTTTAAGAATCTTACATCCTTTTTATAATATAAATAACATTCGTCGAATTTAAATAGAGAAACTTTTTCTTTTTTCAAAACTTATCGTAATCTTTTACTTTGAATGCATGCTTATAATATATTATGATAAGAGTTGAAGTCCTACAAATTTAGACCCATTTTATAACTTTAGGACAAGATTATCAATTCATCTTTCATCTTTTAATCTTTAATATATTTAATATATGTACATAAATTAAGAAATCTAATATGATATTTCCTCCTAATTAATCATATATATAAACATAAGAAAATTCTTATGAATAAATTTAACACATTAATTATGTAAGATTCATTAGAATGAATGTTTATATAAATTTAATATATAATAATAATTGATAAAAGATCTTGAATTTATTCTATAATTTTTTAAAATCACCATTTAACATTGAAAAGTTTGAAGTGCTAAATATTTGCATTATTAATGCCATATTAATATCTTTCACCAACAAGTTGTTGACATTGCTAAACAATGGATTTTATGACTGAGCAGAGAAGGTGCTAGACAATGGATTAATTTATATCTCAAATGTATTAAATACCAATGAAAGATTTCTAAATTCGGTTAAAGATTTGGAATTTTTTTTAACAGATTTAGAGTTGAAGCACGTACAAAATGGGATGAAAGATTTTTTGAATTACTTTGAAATTTTAAAAAGACGTGGAGTATACAAAAAAAAAGTGTAAAAGTACATGAAAAAACAGTCCTTATTTTATAGTGAAGACTTTATAAGTTGAAAATAATTTACAAACATATTAGAGGGCTGTTCTAAAATCTAAAGAAACCTAAATTCAGAAGCAAATAAAGAAAGGTGGTATAGAATGAGACTTACAAAAAGAGAAAAGTTTATGAGATTACAAATTTGTTGCATCAATATCCTCTCTTCGAAAGGATTGATGTATGAAACAAAGTACGCTTGAATAATAATTAATCCATTACATATTTTCTTAATAACCCTAATCCATTGCACATGTAATGTAAAAGTGATGTATATATTAATCACAAACTTAGGTAAAACTAGAATTAACACAGTGTGCTTATTTTTACCCCCACATAAGATCAATGCATGCATTTACTTATATTGTCTTTCCTTCCAACCAATGGCTGAAGAATTCCAACGCTTCCCGTGGCTTATATTCCGGCACGGTGTGCCCAGCTCCCTGCACCAAACCCATGTCTAAGAGACTTTCTATAGTAATACCAGTAACAGTTTTCATTTAACTGTTTCTGCAAGTTTAAACTTATCAAAAGTAATTTCAATTCAGAATTACATCTAAAGAAATAAAACAATATCAGTTGACTTACCTTGATTGTTAGGAATGTGAGATTGTTCTCGTATTCTTGCAAGTACCTGTGTAATTAATTCCATTTCAAATAATTGAACATAGTTTATGTTAATTAATTGAACAACTTTGTTAATTATGTTAATAAATGCATACCCAGCAACTTGGTCGTTTGAGTTCCATGGCCTCCATTCGTCCACGATCTTATATCCCAGAGATCGAGTCCAAGCCTCACTTCCAGTAAATGGTACACACATATCATGGTCACCACTGCCATGAACCATGATCATACATACATACATACATGAAACAATGGAGGAGGTTAATTAATTGATTAAGAATTTCACAGAAGTAATTAATAATTAACCAAGTTCCAACTAGAAATTATAGTGAAATTGAAGATGATACCTGAAAATAAGTGCCTTGTAGCACATCTTGGTTAGGTTCTTGTGGTAGGGAATCATGCTTCCAGCATTGTGATCGTACTCTATCCTATCTGTACATAACTCCCATGCACCTGCCACACTTTCCTGTTCATGTGTATCAAAACTAATCTATTAATTAATCCTCATTCGTGATTATACTTTAATAACTGTTAAATAAACATAGTTAATAGATGCTAATTAAAATGATTGCCTACCGATCCAGCATGAATGGCTTTCCTGACAGCATCGTTGTTCAGCCATGAGCTTGCTACTTCATCATTCTGCTCTTTGCCAGATAAAAGAACAATTCATTTCATCATTTTATCTAAGCTATAACATGTTACCTATGTATATGGCAAGTCTTGTTGGAATCCAAAAGTGAGTCTAAGTTCCACGTTGAATAGAAGTAAGAAAGTAGAGTATATATATAAAAATGAAAGACCGATTAACTCACGATTGGTTTGGATAAAAAGTTATGTCAATTCCTTATATAGTTTGGCTGATGTCTCATATCATTGTCTTTGTTTTCAAGAAACTACTAGATTGTTTGGGACCAATCTCTACGACACCGTGTGTTTAAATTTTTAATCCATGAAAGAACATTATTAGCAGCATAAATTTTTAATCTGTGAATACAAAATGATTTGTGAGACATGATTGAAAACTTACAACACAAGCGACATGCCTCGTTTGAGTCTTTTCGGCCAATTCAGGCCATAATGTGACAAGACCAGGTTTGACTGGTGCTCGAAAAGGCCATGCTCTTCCAAACATTCTCTTCCTCACTGGGAGAGGCTTCTCAGTAACTCCTAATTGCTTGAAACTTGTTGGTAAGCTTCCATTTTCTTTGGTTGTGTCAGGGAAGTGGTAGCATGGCTCGAGTATATTGTACACGTTAAGCCCATCAATGGCCTGAGAACATTAATATATACATATAGCACTCATGATCTTGTACTGGACAGTAATCTTAATTAGTTGTTATGGTTCATAATGAGCTGAAGGAAAAAAGAAAACCATGGATGCTCTTTCTTTATGAATGTCTCACCCTATCAACTTTTACAATGCTCTTATAACACGGATCATTTTCGTCCAAAGAGTAAGCATCGTAGTAGTTTCCTTTGCATGTAGCTTGTAAATCCTGCACATAATTGAATTCCATAATGAAAGTAATAAAATAAGTATGTTTGTGCTGTTAAAATTCTACTGTTGTTCAGATAAGATAAGAGTCTCTATTTAAGGCTTTTTTTCAGTGACTTCACTTTGAACG